CACACATGCTCCCATGCTGGGTGTTACTGGGGATTAAACTGGGGGCCTTGTGCATGCTAAGGCAAGCACTCAACCCCTGGGCTACATCTCCAGCTCCTTTTATTTTATTTTGAGACAGGTTCTTGCTAAATTGCTGAAGCTGACTTCAAACTTGAGATCCTCCTTCTTCAGGTTCCAAGTAGCTGAGATTATTTAGGAATGAGCCACCATGGTCATTTTAGATTAAGTATTTTAATCAATGAATGTATAAACTGTTATGTGGCCATTAAAATGAGATGTATAATTTATCACATGAGAAAATTCTAGGACATTATAAAAGGAAGTTACTTATTTATTGTGTATATAACTCCAAATGTATGTTTTTTTTAAAAAAAAGTGTGTGTGTGTGTGTGTGTGTGTGTATGTGTGCAAGTGAGTATATACATGTATGTTTATGTAGTCCATCATGGGGAAAGTATTGGTGGATTTACACCAATAAATAAGGATACCTGTAGGATAGGGAATATTAATAGGAGGGGGAGAGAACATTTTTTCCTGTAAGTTTGTGACTTACTTGAATTTTTATAGTTTCTTGTGTGTTTGTTTATATATTTAGTACTAGGGATTGAACCCAGCAGTGGTTTTTACCACTGAATCACATCCCACCCCTTTTTATTTTTTATTTTGAGACTGGGTCTTGCTAAGTTTCCCAGAATGGCCTTGAAATAGAGATCCTCCTGCCTCAGCCTCCCATGTTGCTGTGATTACAGGTGTGCACCACTGTACCTGGCAGACATTGTGTTTTAACTTAAATATTTTAAATGTAACTTTGGTTGCAGTACAGAATATAAATTATAATAGAGGTAATGGCAGTTCTCAAGTAGAAAATTTCTTGAAGAAGAATGTTTTTCTTCTTAAACTGAAATTATCTACTGATTAAAAAGGAGCTAATTACATGCTTCATATGTGATTTGTTCTTTTCATCAACATTATTGCAACTTTCTAGGAAAGAGAGGCTAAAATTCCAAACTGCAGGAATGAAGATTGGAAAGAACACAGAGAATTTTAGGAAAAAGAGTGGTTAGATTTAGTAAGCAGAGTAAGAGTTAAGGAGAAGAATGAAGATCAATTTCACTGGGAACACAGGAAGAAGAGCAGATTAAGAATTAAGATAATGGATTAAGCCAGGCCCAGTTGTGCATGCCTGTAATCCCAGTGGTTTGTGAGACTGAGACAGGAGGATTGAGAGTTCAAAGCCAGCCTCAGCAATGGCAAGGTATTAAGCAACTGAGTGATACCTTGCCTCTAAAAAAATACAAAATAGGGGTGAGGATGTGGCTCAGTGTTGAGTGCCCCGAGTTCAATGCCTGGTACCAAAATAAGAAAAAAAGATAATGGATTAAATTTACTGTATTGAGGACCTACGGGAAATTCTCATTAAAGCTATCTATAAGATGGTTTGAAACAATAGGTCTGGTCCCCAGAACGTCTTTGGTATGACTTTTAAAATTTCATTTTATGGTGAACTTTTTTTAATTGTTTTTTTCCAATGTGCATTTCTTTATTTTCTGATTTAAAATTTACATAAACTAACATTAATGAAGGCACTGTAATATTGGCATAAAAATGGACATGTAGAAAAAAATGGCACAGAATACTGAATTCAAAAATTGACCCACACATACATGGATTGATTTTAAGCAAGGGTGCCAAGGTAATCCAATGGGTAAAGGACTTTCCAACAACTGATGCTATGCTAAAAGAATTGGACTTCCATATTAAACAGCAACAACAACAAAACCAAAATTCCTTGACACTTATCTTGCACCAAATAGAAAAATGAAATTAAGTGATCAAATAAATAATATAGATAAAGCATGGATTTATAAATAGTAAAATACAGCATCCAAAATATAAAAATCTTTACAGCTCAAAGTAAGGGAAAAGTGATTTTAAAATGTCCTAAAAATTCAGATATTGCATGAAAAAGTAATACGATTAGGTTAAAATGATACAAAGCTCATTCTCTGAAATTAATAAGAAATCACAAATTAATAACAAGAAAATTTGAGGTATTCACAAACATAGAAAACGTTGTTAATTAACAGTGCATGAAAGAAGAAATCACAGGGAAATTAGAAAATAATTTGAAATGAATGAAAACAGAACATGAAAGAATTCAAGTTATTCAGAACATATTAAGATGACATTTTTAAATTATAATTGTTGATAATTGCAATAACCAAAGGAATGATGTATAGAGTGAGAGAAGATGCTTAAAGCAGGAACCCTGGGGCCCATGGGGCAGCCAGCAGAACAGCACCTGAAGCCACTGACAAGTTGCCTTGGAGGGGATGCATCAGTATTCCGAGAGTGAAGATGATGTGAATGGTCAGTTGTGTCACACTCCACAGGAAGTGAGAGAAAAATGAAACATTAAATTTATAATATAGTATTACACTTTGAGAATGGATTATGGTGGAGAGCCCTCTAGTGGAAGGGAGTCTGGTATTTGTAGAACTGGAAAAGGAGTTTAACTCCGAAAATAATGTGAGTGTTGCTTGCATAAAAGTGTTTTCCTCTTGTGAATACAATGGGATTATTTTATCACTGGAAGAAAAAATAAGCGAGGGTTAATTTGAGTCAATGTACACAGATTATATATAAAATTTTTCTGCTCTGTAAAAGGTAGAAAGGAAAAAGATTTGAGGAGGTAAAACGAGATTTTCTTCAGCAATGGGAAGAAGCAGGTAAGTCAGGGAAATATCTGCTATAGCAAAGCTTCTGGTAAAGAGAAGCTGAAGAAACTCAGAATATCAAGTTCTACTGAAGTTCCGAACCAGTCTCACAGACATGAGTTAAAGGAAAGTTGCAGGGTCTCTTTTGGAAAAACCGCCTGCTTTACAGTTCATTTTCTACATTTGTTATATAAAACTGAGATAAGTTTATAGGGAAATTCTTTGTTTTCTCCTCATACAAAAGCTGAGATAGGAAGCTGCTCTACATTAACCTTCTTTTTCCCTTTGTTTTGTTAAATTGGTAAGTACACATGTAGAAAATTGAAGAATAATATATTTTTAAATAGTTTACATTGCTTACCTAAAAGAGTAGAATTGGATAAGAAAGGCAGAAATTAACTTCTTTTTGTAACTCTTTTAACTTAATTGCAATCTTTATAAAACAATCAAGTATGTAGTATTTAGGGTGAAAAGCTAAAGATTAAATGAATGCATATTTAGGAAAAGGTTATGAAAGCAGTATAGAGGTAGGAGTGTTAGAAAATTTAACAACTTTAAATATTTGTGCATATTTGGTTATAAATATGCAAATACAAGAATACCAAATACAAATATTTTTGCATATTTGTTACTATACCAAATAGAATATAGATTACATAAAATTATATATCCATAAAAGTGTAGTTTTTTATTTATATCATGAGCAGCTTTTCCATATTAATATATATCCACTTAATTTAGTTTTTGAAACTATATAAAATTTTTTAAACTTTTTGGGGAAACTTCTTTAAAATTTAAATACATATATATAGAATAGGGTCCAGGTTAATAACTTTTAACAAGTGAAGGCACCCACATAACCACAACTCCAGATAAGTTAAAGAGCACTGTTGGGCACATACTAATGTTCCTCATCCTGCCTCCAGGCATCTGTATTGGTAACCAGTATTATTCTGATGGCCATCATCTCTGTAGCTTAGTTGTGTGCTTTTGTTTGTTTTGTTTTATTTTACTTTTTATAAGTTTAATCCTGGTTGCCTATGGGGTTTTTTTGTATGGTCAATATTAGTTTTGTGAGGTTTCTTTGTGTGGTTACAGATAGCAGTAGTTTATCATTTTTCTATTTAATATAGAAGTCAAATGCATGTATGTCACAATTTATGCCTTCTACTGTTGATGGATATGTAGTTTTTCTGAATCGGGACTATTATAGATAATGCTCATATATGAGCCTTCTCATCTTTTGAACATACTTCTATTGCATAGGTGTACATTTCTGTGGGCATTTCTAGGAAACGCATTGTTCGGCATATCTTGTACAAACTGAGCATTAGGATACTGTCCAAGTATTTCCCCAAATGGCTCTTATTTTACCCTACATGCAGAGATTCATATGCTCCATGTCCATAATTTTTGCTAACATATGAGGATTGTAAGTTCAAGGCCAGTTTAGGTAATATAGTTTTGTCTTTCCTTATATTCTTTCCTTTTGCTAGTTATAACCAGAATAAGCATATAATTCTCATACTAGTAAGGTTCAGATGTGCTTTTTTACTTTCAGATGTGGAGTTTTTTTCACATTTCTAACTAATTGCTGTCAAGCATTTCCTGGTGATAGCAGAAAACTATTTTTTCTATATTCTGTTCCTTTATTTGGGGAAATTATATGTGCTTGAAGAACATTTTTAGCTAGTGAGGTTTCTTCAGAGGTCATATTTCAGCATAAGTCTAAAAGTCTGCCAATTCTTACTTCTTTATGCTAATGGTAATGAGTCTAAAAATGCCTAAATGAATTAACAAATAAGCCAAAAACTTTATTGAAGACAGTATTTTCAGTGACTTCTCCTTTCCCTGCACCTAAATCTTTTTACGAGTATCAATAATAAATGGGAAAACTTGCTGACTTGATTTTTTTCCCCATTCAGAATCTGTTAAAAGTTTTAAACCAGAGGTGGGTGGAGGGCACCCAAATGTAATCAATTTCTGACAAATAACTGGAACATAGAAATCTCTTCATTTATTTCATATTTTATGGACCTGGTTTGAAAATAAATTTTAGAGGGCCACTGTGAAGTCTAGGCTAATAAAATGCTTTTTAACCTTTAGTAGATAATTTCTGAGTATGTTCTAGCCAGTGCAGTGGAGCCCACTGTTAAGGACTCTGCTCAAGTTTCAGCCTCCTGACAGAGTCACTTAAGAATAAAGCTCCCAGTGACCAGAACCCTCAGTAGCTTCACTATTGTTTCACTGCCCCCCACAAAAGCTGTTTTTCTCTCTACATAGGTATCAGTCAGAGCCGGATCTCTCATTGGCTGCTGCAGCAGGGATCAGACCTGAGTGAACAAAAGAAAAGAGCATTTTACCGATGGTATCAACTTGAGAAGACAAACCCTGGTAAATATCATTTCCTTGTGCTTACTTCATCTGAAGCAAGGCAAATGTATGAATTATTTCACTGAATCCAAGTGTTAATTCGTTCAGTAAGGTAGTTTCCTACTTTACTGTTGTTCTTTTATGCACTGCCCCCCCCCAAAAAACAACCATATACTTTTAACTGTAAAATCTAAGCCCTGACTTGTAATACTTTTTAGTCTATTGTCTAATATTTTCTAGTCTTGTTCATACCCTCCTCTAAGCTACCTCTTCGCTTCCAGCTGATATGTTAACCTAGCAGCCATAGTTTAAAAGAATGATCAGGAGTGTCAGTGGCTGGTTTCCTTTTTCCCAACCATAAGTATACATATAAAATTGCACATATTTTATTATTTTTGGAAAATTGTGTTTTAATTTGTAATATCAATTTAATATTTGTATTTATTTTTAATAAATCTTAAAATTTATAGTAATATAGTAAAAATTAATACAGTAAAAATAATCACTGTATTATATCCAGTGATCTCTGTTAATGATTTTCTGTTTCTACTTCTAATGACTTCTGGGTAATGAATATATCTTTGGATTTTTAAGATGAAACTGCTCTGATGACTCCCAGGAGCAGCAGTAGGTTGGAAAGCTGAATGAATCTTAAGGAAAAAGAAGATCACAAAACCTTGTGTTTGGAGTTGCCAAGAATAGGCAAGATACTTTTATCAAGTGATATATAAAGTAAAATATGAAGTCATGGGACCGACTGTCTCAATCCACACATTGTGCAGTCTGGTAGCAGTGAGCCTGCTCTCAAGTGTAAACTTATTATGATTTAGTTATCTTCCATAATGCTGTGCTGCCTAAAGCCTTTGCACAGCCTAAATCACCCATTGAAATATTGCATACCAATAGCACTAGCTTTGAGGTGAAAATAAAGAATGCTCTAAAGCATTCTTGTGTGTGTTTGTGTCTGTCTGTGATAAGATTTTTCTCTCCAAAGATTACATTCTCAATCCAGAAGACCCACACAGTACAAAACAGAATAGACTGTATCAATCTCTATGCAATGAATTTTTAAAAATTTATTCTGCCAATAATTTCTGTTTGAAGTGTCTTAGATGTAACGGAAAGTTAAAAGAATAGGACAGTAAGCACCTTTTTACCTCTTCTTAGATATAGTTGAGAATATATCGCTGCATTTGCTTTATCTCTATAAAATAAATTTTAAGATTTATTTTTGTCTATTTAGCATTCATCTCCTAAAAGCAAGAGTCCTTTCCTACATAACCACAGTCTCCATTATCACACCTAAGGAAATTAATAAATCCATATTATCTAATATTTAATCCATTGCCACATCTCTCTAGTTGTTGTGAGAGTGTCTTTTGTAATTCTTTTTTTTTTTTTTTTTTTATAAATAGAACCTGTTTTAGGTTAGCAAAGTTAGAATGCTTCCTTAGACTCTTAATTCTAATCACCCAAACTTTTTTTTAATTGATTTTTTAATTCTAACTTGTTGTATATGACAGTGGAATGCATTACAATTCATATTACCCATATAGAGCACAGTTTTTCATATCTTTGGTTGTACATAAAGTACAGTCACACCATTTGTGTCTTCATACATATATTTAGGGTAATGGTATCCATCTCCTTCCACCATCTTTTCTACCCCCATGCTCCCTCCTCTCCCCTTCCACCCACCCTTTTGCCCTTCTAGAGTTCTTCTGTCTAATCCTCCTATGTTTCCCCTCCCAACGCCACTATGAATCAGCCTCCTTATATCAGAGAAAACATTCGGCATTTGGTTTTTTGGGATTGGCTAACTTCACTTAGCATTATATTCTCCAACTTTATCCATTTACGTGCAGATCCCATGATTTTATTCTCTTTTATTGCTGAGTAATACTCCATTGTGTGTATATACCACATTTTCTTTATTTATTCATCTACTGAAGGTAAACTTTGTTTTTATTTTATTTTTATTTTTATGTGGTGCTGAGGATCCAACCCAGCACCCCGTGCATGCCAGACGAGCTCATTACCGCTTGAGTCACATCCCTAGCCCATGGGCAAACTTTTTTATGACATAAATTTTTTAAGCCATATAACCACAGAATATCTCAAGTTTGCGGTTTTTCTGAACTATATATTTTCATCACTAAATAACTTTTTTCTTTATCTTCTGTAGTTCCTATACACTGGAAGTTAGAATTAAAGACTTTGTTAGATTCAGGTTGGATATTTTGGTCAAAAGTATTTCATAGATTATGGGGGGAGGGCTGTACTAATGATGGCAATTTATATTGAAACACATTAAAAAATAAAACAGATTGACAGAGAAATTGAAGATACATGATGAAGTCAGTATAGTAAAATGATTAGGTGAAAATGAGTATGATTTTCACTTACAAAATTGTATTGATGTATATTTGAAATTTTCTCAGTATTTAGATACCTCATGTCGTCACTTATCACAAGGTCTGTGATGTTAAGTTATAACACTTCCCGTATGTTAAGCTTGACCATTTCATTAAGGTGGGGACCATCAGATCTTCATCTTACAGTTTATAAACAATCTTTAGGGTGACATTTCTTGTTTGTTGCAGTGCTTGGGATTCAACCCCATACCCCATGCCTCATGCGTGCTAAGCAAGTGCTTTACCACTGAGACATATCCTCAGCCTTCTAGGGCAACATTCTGCCACTGGGTGAACATCCTTTTCTGCAACAGCCTTTTATTGGTGGTTTTAGCATTCCTTCAGGATCCTTTTCTAAATTACTTCTTCCAGTGGAGGTTGTAAAATGAGATAATCTAATCTATCATTCCTTCAGCATTTATTAGCTTGAGAGTTTTTCTATAAAGAAGAGCTTTCATTTTTCAGATATTTTCTAATATCTACATACACAAGCAAACCTCTCAAAATAGTTTCATTTTTGTTGTTTTTAGTGTGGGGTCAGGGAGACACAGGGATGGGAGACAGAGTAGGTGAAAGAACAGTTTGGGTTCAAATCCTAACTCCTTTTTTTAATATATTTTTTTAATTTTTAAAATTTACTTATTTTTATGTGGTGCTGTGGATCAAACCCACTGCTAGGCAAACACTCTACCACTGAGCTACAACCCCAGCCCTCAAAATAGACTCTGCTGTTGCCACTGTCATAGGACCCAAGGCAAACACAGTCTAGGAAAAATATAATGCAAATAGTATATGTAATTTTAAATTTTCTAGTAACCACATTTCAAAAAGTAAAAATAAATAGTGAAAATTAAATTTGATAATATAACATATATAGCCAGTATGTGATCATTTCAGTATTTAATCAGTATTTTTATTTTTTAAACATTTTTTTTCTTTTACATACTTGTATACACACACAATATAAAAATATAATTTGGCCAGTATCACTCCTCAGCACTTCCCCCTTCCTTCTCTGCTTTCTACCCTCTAGTCCTTCCTCCACTCATCCCATTTTGTTTAAAACTTGAGATTTTTTTAAAACTTGAGGGCCAGGGATGTGGCTCAGTGGTAGAGCGCTTGCCCAGCATGCGTGAGGCCCTGGGTTCAATCCCTGGCACCACATAAAAAAAAATAATAATAATAAAAATAAAAAAAAAATAAAACTTGAGATTTCTCTCTTCTTTCTTTCTTTTCCTGATTCAGTATATATTTTACACTTAGAGAACCTATTTTCAACCAGCTACATTTCAAGTGCTTAATTGTCATGTGTCTTGTAGTTACCACATAAAATCAGCACGGTTTTCAGATATAGTTGAAACAATACTTCAAACTTGACACTAAGCAATCTTCCCAGAAGATATCACTTCTCCCATGATTCACAGCAGAACAAGTTAGATGGAGAGGGTTTAGTTAGGTAAGCAAGGAACTGTGCCAGGTGGTGTCATGAATCTAGTCATATTCTAAACAAGGAATTGGGACCACCAGGAATTGGCGACCTCCAGGGAGACTACCAAAGGAGCTATCAGGGTGGTCTGGCATGTGTAGGGCAGAGCAATGAAGAACTTAGGAGGACAGGACTTAGAGGTCAATTGTGCCAGGCAGTCAGCCTCCACAAAAGAAGGGTTTTTTCCTATTCTTTTGGCACTTGATACAGAAGTAACATGACCTAATCATAGATGTTTAGGCTAAATTTCCACACTGAGGTTTCAGGGCTGGCTTCCAGTCTCAGGCAAAGACTAGTATGCTAGGGATAATTAATTCACTGGAAACAAGAAGGAGGACTAAGGTACAGCTCTCAGGCGCAGCAGCATTGTTGCCAACCAATCTGATAGCACTGTTGACAGAGGAAATTCTCCTTTAGAAGTGCAGGTGTTAGCACTGGGCTGATAGTGTTCTTCTAAAGCTGGGTTTTTAAAAATTTTTCTGTTTTGTTTTTAATCTTACTTCCTGTTTAAATTTACCTTGGAACAAGGTAAATTTAATCTTGGGAAATTGAAGGAAATTAGGCACTGAAATGGAGAAAATGGGAAAGGACTAAGAGGCCATGATTAGGATCTTTGTTCTTAACAGAGATGGTGCCTCCTTGTAAGAGTAAGTTCCCCTCATTGTATACATTTGTTTTGCAACAAACTGGATTACTTTATCCTTTTTAAAGGGCTTTCTATTTATTTTGTTTAAAATCCAAATCTATACGGTTCTCTTCAGTCACGTTTTCTCTAGGATATAATTTAGAGGTAGCTGAAGAGACAAGGATAGGTTTTTGTCAATTTGTAGTTTTTATTATTAAACTAAAGTAATTGAATATTAGCCACTGGAATTTAAATTTTTCTATGTATTTTCACTTTTAATGTAGGCAATAATATGTGACATATAATTCTTTCTGGATAAATGCAGGGTTTTGTTGATTTTAAAATAACCTTTAGGGCTGGGGTTATAGCTCAGTGGTAAAGCGCTTGCCTGGCATATGGGAGGCACTGGATTCGATTCTCAGCACCACATATAAATAAATAAAATAAAGGTCCATCAACAACTAAAAAAAAATATTTTAAAAAAAATAACCTCTAC